GGGGGGGGGGGGGCGGCAGTGGACGAGACTCTGGTCTGGGATGGTTCCAGGAATGCAGGACTTCCGTGAACGTTGACAGACTTGGAGGATTCGGGATTTTTCTCCCGAGGGCAGGCAGGATTAAGAGGAGGCTCGACAAAATTGTGAAAGGTTTAAAGAAAGAGAAGCGGTTTTTTATTTACGTGTGGGACATGGGCATCGCCGGCACGGTCAGCATTGATTGCCCCTATCCCTCGGTGGTGGTGTGCTGCTTCTCAAACCATGTTCCACTTGTTGAATGTCTAAAGAACCACTGGACCCCAATTGAGAGTCACTGGCAGTATGATCAGAGATGGCGCGTGCAAAACTATTTTACACACAATTACTTGATGTGATCGGGAATGCAATGACAAACGGGGAAATGGAGGCAGATACAACAGTAACTTTCAAACGAGAACTGGATAAATTCTTGAAGGACAAATAAAAAAGTACATTTGGATCAGCCATGATCCTATTGAATAGCGGAACAAGCTTGAAGGGCCAAACAGCCTCCTTCTGTTCCTATTCCATATGGTCTGTAAAAGCGTGTACAGCTACCAGGATGAGCAAGGGGTGGTGGACCATATTGGTAGCTCAATGAAACACCTACCATAAGACAATGGGCTGAATAGCCTCCCTCTACATCTTTGTTTCTAAAAGCACTTTAATGTTCAGCTTCACCGTCTCAACTGGGGCAGGTAGGGTGGGGTGGGGAGCGGGGACTTGGGAGATTTATGGAACAGGCACGGAGATCCGGGACGGTCTCCTCTTACTGACCCTCCCACTCTCAAACCGTACACCAGACGACAGGATTAGGCCCCATCGGCTCTTACCGACTGAGCCTGCAAATCCTGGTGATGGTAAAGCTGAGAAACTAAAAGCAGCCTTTTTCCCCAAGAAAGAGCCCCCTTGACATTCAAAAACATTGGACAGGCGGGAAGCGCAGAAGGTGAAGAGATTCGTGGGGTCTCCTGGAGTTCCCACAGGGGCTACTTCCCTGACCTGAATGCTTTATGCATTCCCGGTGAGGGACATAGTCTACAACAACAACTTGCATTTACATCACGCCCTTCCAAAATGTATCAAGGGTGCTCACAGGAACGCCAAGTGAAAACAACGCCAGGTGAGAGACATTAAGTAGAGGCGACCAGCAGCTTAGTGAGGGGGGTTTGGTAAGACAGGTGGCAAGGTGGGGGTTTACAGCTTGTTAATATTTTGACAAACTCTTCCTTGAGAAGTACTACGCTGCTGAGAATTAGAATTCAACTTTCACATTTCTGCAACATAGCAAGAGGCGTCGATTTCTGGCAGACCCCAAACTGGCTCACCAAAATGGAGGCTGCATTCTCACAGCTGCTCATCCTTCTAAACTCCATCAAGTACAAACCCAGAGTTCTCAACTGCTCCTCATATGACAAGGTCTTCATCCCCAGGATCATTCTTGTAAACCTCCTCCGGACCCCCTCCAACACCAGCACATCCATCCTTAGATATAGGACTAAAACTCCTCACAATATTCCAAATGCAGTCTGACCACAGCCTTATACAGCCTCAGCAGTACATCTTTGCTCTGTATTCTAGGCCTTGTGAAATGAATGTTAACATAGCATTTGCCTTCCTTACTGTATGTTTACCTTAAGGGAATCCTGAACTAGGACTCCCAAGTGCTTCGGTTTTCCAAAGCCGTTCCCAATTTAGAAAATAGTCTACACATGTATTTGGTTTCTCTCCTTCTGCAGATGGGAGATACAGCTTTAGCAAAACTGGTACCTGATCTGAGACGTATCAGTAAAGAGCACAAGGTGACAATAAACTGGGACAGCGATAGATGGCCTTCCCAATATTGTAAACTCAATTGCAGTAACATATAAGTCTTAGCCCCGATCTCCAAGCCTGAACCCAATTCTTGCATCCGCACATTTCTGATTTTAAGTCTTTTTGAGGTAGTGTTGTAAATATGTGTGCCCAAGAAAAATATGCTGCACAAACAACATTCTGGTACTTTATTTCCAGATTCTGGTGTAAACTGGTTAGTGCAGCACCGCTGCCAATGGTCAATGAAGATAAAATAATAATTGAAATGTTCCACCTCAGTCAAGGTGCACTGCATCAAGTTAGTAAGGGAAAGCACGTTGCTAGGACCCTCCTGTAGTGTAGTGGGAGTTTCCCTACCCATGGACCAGGAGACATGAGTTCAATTCCCACCTCCTCCTCCAGAGGTGTGTAATAACATCTCTGAACGGGCTGATTAGGGAAAAGGACAAACTTAAGTTAAAAGCATATTGCTGATGTGAAGTTGCAGTGTTCTTTGTATAGGCTACGCATATTACTGTATGGAGAGAGAGCAGGGGGGGAAACGAGACAGAGGGTGCACATGTGAATGGAGAGAGAGAGCGAGAGAGAGCATGCAAATGGAGAGGAAGTGTGAATTGAGGGGGAAGCAAGCGAGGGAAAGTGTGTGAAAGGAAAAAAAAAAATGCAGATAGTGATTAGGATAACTGAATGCCAACTCACATAGATAAAGCTGTTCCTCTGGTTAGTTGTGTGCTCAGGCTTTTTGTTTATTCATTCTTGGGACGTGGGCTTCGCTGGTGGGCCAGCATTAATTGTCCCCACTGCCCTTAAAAAGGTGGAGGTGGAGGTGACAATGACGGTGGTGAGCTATATTCTTGAACTGCTGCGGTCCCCAGAGGGGCAGGGGCAGCCACAGGATGAGTAGGGCAGGAATACCAGGATGCCGGCCCAGCGGCACAGAGGGAATGACGATACAGTTACAAGTCAGGATGGTGTGGAGGATGGAGGGGGAAATTACAGATGGTGGTGCCTGCTCTAACACAGCCAGTGGCAGGTTAATCGCCACTGGTTTATTGGGCGAGATCGACTTCAAACAGACTCGACAACTCTTCTGAACCCATCCCAAGTCTACAAAGCAATGGTACTCAATGTGAAAACAAGCGAGCTTCCAATTCCTAACACAATTATTACAAGACTTTGCTCCAACTTTCTCTCATCTGTTCTCAGCGCGGAGACAACACCATACACCCCAGGTACTCACTTGATACAGCCAATGGCAACTTGAGTCAGTGGATAAATAAGTGGCTCCAATACTTCATTGGGATAAACGGTACTTAACATCCGACACCAAAGGTACAAGCAATGAATGAACTGCCAGTTGTAAACTGACTGATAGGTCTCCTGAATACAAAGAAAGGACCATGTGAGGGCAAAGAAACAAGCAGGTGCTGAAAGGTGCAAAACCATCAAGCTGTGATTCATTGTTAATCGAAAGTATGGTCTATGTTCCTTAAAAAGGCAACAGCACTTGTACTAAAACGTGTTTCACATTTCTCCAATGCCTTTCTCAACCTCTGCATCTCCCAAAGCCCTTTCTGGCTTTTTAAAAAAAATTCATTCGTGGGATGAGGGCGTCGCTGGCCAGGCAGCATTTATTGCCCATCCCTAGCTGCCCAGAGGGCAGTTAAGAGTCAAACACATTGCTGTGGGTCTAGAGTCACATGTAGACCACACCAGGTAAGGACGACAGTTTCCTTTCCTTAAAGGGCATTAGTGAACCAGATGGGTTTTTCCAACAATTGACAATGGATTCACGGTCATCGTTAGACTCTTAATTCCAGGTATTTATTGGATTCAAGTTCCACCATCTGCCATGGTGGAATTCGAACCTGGGTCTCCAGAACATTATCTGGGTCTCTGGATTAACAGTCCAGCGATAATACCACTAGGCCATCGCCTTCCCTATTTGAAGAGTGGCCCCTGTTGGATTGTGAGAAAAACAGCAGCCAATTGGCACACAGTAAGCTCCCACAAACATCAATGAGCTCACAACCAGATTTGTTTCAATCATCTGGAACGGAGTGCCTGAAAGGTTAATAGAAGTTGGTGAAGGGATTAATATTGCTTAGGGTCAGAGGGCAGAACATCCCCATTCTCCTGTGTGAAACTGTCCCATGCTTAAAATTGTTTTAAATGTCCACTTAAATCTGTTTCTAAAAGTTCTGGTTCCCCTGCTATCGGAAAAACGTTGTTAAATTTGAAAAGGGTTCAGAAAAGTTTTACCAGGATGTTGCAAGGATCAGAGGGTTTGAGTTATAAGGGGAGGCTGGATAAGCTGGGACTTTTTGCACTGGAGCATGGGAGGTTAAAGGTGACCTTATAGAGGTTTATAAAACCATGAACTGAATAGTAACAGGTCTTTTCCCTAGGGTGTGGGAGTTCAAAATTAGAAGTGAGAGGAGAAAGGTTTGAAAGGGACCAGAGTGGTAACTTTTTCCACAGAGAGGATGGTTTGTACGTGGAACAAACTGCCAGAGGAAGTGGTAAATGCAGATACAATTACAACATTTAAATGACATTTGGACAGGTACTTGAGTAAGAAAGTTTTACAGGGAGAGAGGCCAAATCCAGGCAAATGATACAAGTTTAAGTTTGGGGTACCTGGTCAGCATGGGTGATTTGGACTGAAGGGTCTGTTTCCATGCCGTACGACTTTATGACATCTCTCAAAGAGTTAATTCCCTTGGGGAATACGGAAGACAACTAGGCTTCCTGAAACAAGCAAGGTGGTGGGAAATGGGGGTAATATATAGTGTTACAGGAAATAAACAGCAAGCGTGTCCATTATTCTGCACTGATTTCTATTTTCACATTCTGCTTCAATGTTTAACTGTGCCACTTGAACCCAATACAACAGGGGAGAACTGAAACTTAAAAAAGGAAGTATTCACAATGAAAAAGCAAAACAAAATAAACTGTTACCTTTTTCTTCATAGTCATCGCATTCCGGAGATGGACAGCCAGTTGCCGGATGTAAATGAAGGCATGCTGATATGTCACCAGGCTGTCTAATGCGTACATCTCAGTCAAAGTGCGCTGCATGAAGTTAATGAGGGGAAGCACGTTTGGGGATGTGAATTTGCAGTTCTTCACGTAGGCAACATACATTTGCTGTAGAGAGTAAGAAAGACAGAACAAGGAAACAGGATAAATAACTGCCCCTGATGTAGCGGTTCACTTTTCCTGTGATCAGGTGTCTGCTCAGGTTTTGATTTCTCAGACAATGTTGCCCCTTCCACCTCCAACGGGAGTCAGCTCTGCTTGGATTCACGCACCCAGGTGACCAATAGTCAACGGTTAAAAGGGTCACGCTCGAATGAGGACAATCGACATTGATGGAGGATTCTTCACAACCAACGGCACTCACTCGTTTCGAACACAGAGATGAGGAGGAATGTCTTCTCTCCAAGGGTTGTTAATCTCTGGGAAGCTTCTGCTCAGAAAGCAGTTTGGGGGCTGCACCTTTGAAATTATTCAAGGCTCGATGAGATATGTTGGTATTCAGGTGGACAGGAAAGTGGAGTTGGGGCTTCAACCAGATCTGTTATCTGGTTGTAGTCCCAACTCTCTGACCTATTATCAGATTACACTTAAGCTTCAGATACAAAAATGTTCTTGTTAAACCTGAAGATTTCCAGATGCAATTTAGTTCAAATAAATGAGAATGGTTTATTCCCCCCAGCCCACACACACACACACACACACACACAGAGAGAGACACACATAGAGAAGACAGGTAACTTTGGAATGAGATAGCAAGAACTGCAGATGCTGGAGTCATAGACAACAGTGTGGAGCTGGAGGAACACAGCAGGCCAGGCAACATCAGAGGAACAGGAAAGCTGATGTTTCGGGTCAGGATCCTTCTTCAGAAAAAGGGTCCAGACCCGAAATGTCAGCTTTCCTGCTCCTCTGATGCTGCCTGGCCTGCTGTGTTCATCCAGCTCCTCACTGTGTTAACTTTGGGATATCACATTTTTTTTAAAACCAAGATTCCGAGTACAATCACAAATAGTTCTGCTCCTCCTTTAGCTAATTTTAAACGTTAAAGAGGTACTTTAAAGGGAGCTAGCCCTTTCTGAAAAGGCTAACACTGAACCCATTAAAAACTGGAGTTGTTCATCTGGTGAGAACACCCTCTCAGTGGGGAGTTCTGAAACGGTCCGGATTGGAATTACACTCCACCCAGAGTGATGTCCAAACAATAAGTGGCAGCTTCAGAATGAACTCCAACTTTGGGGAGGACCTGACACCCACAGAAAATTGCCACTGCTTCTCACTGATTTGTCAATGGTGGCAATGAAGGAGGAGATAAAGCAATGGAGTATTGTGCATTTACCAGTAACTTATCAAGGAAAATAAGCTACCTGGCAATGTCGAAACATTTTCTCACACACTTTAATTACCTTGAGCACTAGGTTCAGATACACATCTTGCTTGTGTCTGCATATTTTGTTAAGAATTAGGAACGCCAGAACTCTCACCGTCTCTTCCCCTGTGCTCCACTGGTTTATAGTTTGCTAGGGGTACACAATGGTGGACATTAGATACAATTAGCAGTGAGAAACCATCAGCTACATTATTGGTAAAATGCACTTCGACCACAATCAGTGTAAGGTAAACTCTAATTTGTGTGTGAAAATATTCCAGGATTTTATTTCACACAGTGCCAAGAATAGCTGCTCACCCTTAACCACATCACACTCATCACAGAATCCCGACAATGTGAAAGCCGGCCATTTGGCCCATTCAGTCCATACTGACCCACCAAACAGCATCTTAGCCCGACCCATCCCACTACCCCATCCCTGTAACCCTGTATTTTCCATGGCTAACCCATCTAGCCTGCACATCCCTGAACACTAGGGGCAATTTAGCATGGCTAATCCACCCTAACCTGCACATCTTTGGACTGTGGGAGGAAACCGGAGAACCCGGAGGAAACCCACACAGACACGGGGAGAATGTGCAAACTCCACACAGGAGGGTGGAATTGAACCCGGATCCCTGGTGCTGTGAGGCAGCAGTGCTAATGACCGAGCCACTGAGCAGACCAATGAGATTCCTTTACGCAAAATCAAGCTGGGAATCTGAAACTTCCAGCTCTTAATGGAAGCAAGTCCAGCAAATTTTGTTTTAAGCAACAAGCTCGATAAATCAGCAAAAATTATATTCCACAAATACCATAAGTTTATTACGATCTCCATGATGTCTGAGTTGTCAGTTGAAGGTGCGAGTGAGAAGTAAGTTTTATTTAAGTGATTAATGCTGTGAATAAAGTATAACAGTGATGTGTATAGCTCCTGCAATCCTTAACGTGTGCTTTTACATTGATGACGTGGGCCTCTTGATCAACAGGAATATTTGATGAACTGGTACGCTCCTGGTGCCATAGCTGCTGGTTAATGTAAAGTTTGCAGCACATTAAAAATAAAATCCAATGCATAAAGTGTGACTGTGATCCAGTGGGTTATCTGCTATTTCAAGGTGTAAGAAAATGGCACTGAATCTATTAAGAATCCAGCTCAGGAAGCCACTTCGTTCAAACCAGAGGCACTCTTGCAAGCTGGCAGGCAGGGGCACTGTGTTCGTCATGGATTCCATTCTCGGTCTCGGTTTTCCGTGACTCACCACCCAACAGAGGAAGTGGAAGGGAGAAACTTTTACAATCTAGTGCTCCTGTCTATTGTTGAACCAACCAACTCTGTATCGACCACTAAAAGAGAGGCTCTTTAAAGCAGGAAGAGAGAGTAACGCAGGTCCCAATGTCTTAACATTCAAGGCTATGGGCCTAGTGCGAGAAAGTATGACCAGTGTAGGTAGCAGTGATATGGACTCGATGGGCCGAATGGCAGTGTAGGGTTTTATGAGACTGAGGAGAGGGGTTTGACTTTTCACTGCTGTTCAGCTTTTAGCCAAAGCAGAAAAAAGGCGAGGAACTCAGCGACTGAGGAGGGGTGTCAGTGGGACGTGGCCTTCTGCCTGTTCTGTTTTAGTTGTATCGTATTATACTTTTAAAAATAGATAACAGCACAAGTCAGTGAAGGCACTGAGGCTTGAGTATACTGCTCTTGACGTGGAGGGCGCACACATTCTGCTGGCTCTTCTTCAGCTGTGAAACCAGGGGAGTGACTGCCAAATGAATATTGAAGACAAGCTCCTCCTCAGTCACTTTAATGCGGCCCAATGCGAATGCCCAGTGCAGCACCGTGTTTGCGTGGAACTTGGCGGTCAATGTGATTTTGGTTACATGTTCTCCTGGACAGGAAGGAGGGAATTTGCCAACTTTACTCAGACCAGGACCCAGAACGGGAGGAACCTGCTTAATAAGGGATTAATAAGGGATTCTGAGGCAAGGCAGACATTGTATTCCGTCGCTAGCTTCTTGGCCATCTTCTTGTTTTTGTTCAGCTTCGCTGGAGCTTCAGGGTGAGGGAAACCAGCAGGCTTTGCTTCATCACAACGCTGCTGCTCACCAGGCCCACAGATGGAGAACTCAGACTGAGGGGTACTCTTTAATCCGACAGTGCCAGACAGATGCTCGTCCTTTGGATTGATCTGCAGCTCTGCAGTCTCCCAGGAACTCGCAAGGCTTGCGTTGGGATCCCCTGAAGGAGCTCCAGGACAGCTTCGTACAGGCTACCACCAGGGACCTTACAGCTCGTCCTGTCAGTGACTCTAGAGAAAGGCAGCCTGTGCAAACAGGGTGGAGGCAAGTGCACACCAAGAAAGGGCCCCAACCACTGCCGGGTGAGACACCGAGGCTACATTTCCAAAGCAGCAACCAACGTCAAACCAATAGAGAGTCAATACTCAGCTGGAGGGAAGCTGAATTCAGCTGTTAATCCCCAAGCTACAGAGAAGCCCATCATGTAAAGGAGCCTGCCGAAAATAAACATTCCAATCCATCGCATATTGTCATTAAAACATGAGACATCACAATGCATTTCAAAACGCTGGGTGTGTCAGTATATTCATAGTATTTAAATGACTGACCTCATTAACTGGCTACAACTGAATTAATATATATCATTGCCCATGCTACTTATATGTCACAAGACAACAAGATGCAGGGCTGGATGAACACAGCAGGTCAAGCAGCATCACAGGAGCAGAGAGGCTGTCGTTTCGGGCCGAGACCCTTTATATGTCACAACACTGTTTTTAATAATTATAATTCACTTGAGCTGGGCTCTTTGATGCAGAAACACACAGGGGTAATGATCAGAGGAGGATAGGATCATCGTGCACCAGGGACACGGGCAGATTTGTCATCAGGACAGAGTATTCTGCCCGCTCCTGAATGAAAGAGGGACTGCAGAGGAACCTGGACTTACTTATTTTTGCAACAACAGCAACTTATGTTTGTGTAGCACCCTTGACAATGAAATGTCCCAGGGGGTTTCATGAAAGCACGGGTTGGGGTGGGTTTGGGGGATGGAGTGTGGGGGGTGTTCAGTCTCCATACTGTCCCACTGACGGGAAGAGGAACAATATTCCCACTCCGGTTTCCCAGAACCAAGATCGAGCGTTCCTGGGTCAGTTACAGCCGAGTGCAAAAGCAGAACGGGTCTCTCTTCTTCTCTGCGTTCTGTTCCATCCACTTTAAGGAAGCCAGGTCACTGAGGATATTCAAGTAAGTTATTGCTAACGGCATCAAGAGAAATGGAGAGAAAGCAGAAATATGGCATCGAGATGGAGCATCAGCCATGATCATAGTGAACAGCAGGGCAGGCTTGAAGGGCCAAATGGCCTATTCCTGCTCCTAGGTTTGTTGTGTCAAACCCTTTCCCCCCAATATGACATGTCCATTTCTCACAACATCGTGAGCTTGCGTGAAAATGCTATCCTTGAGCTCATTAGAAGGCATTTAGCTGAATGAACCTGTGCTCTGACGACCTAATTACAAATCAGAAAAGTAGGTATTGCAGGCAGAGTGGGGGCGGGGGGAGCGAGATGGTGGTGACGTAAGCTTTGTTGGAATTTTTGTTTTACTCATACATGGGGAACATGGCCATCACTGGCCAGGCCAGCATTTACTGTCCATCTGTAAATTCCCAGTAGGCACTCAAGAGTCAATCATATCACTGTGGGTCTGGAGTCACATGTAGGCCAGACCAGGTAAGGGTGGCAGTTTCCTTCCCTAAAGGACATTAGTGAACCAGATGGGGTTTTACAAGAGTTGATCACTTTCAGACCAGCTCTATGCTCCAGGTTTTTACTGAATTCAAATGTCAGGGTGGGATTCAAACCACGTCCCCAGAATATTGGCCTGAGGTGACTACATCACCATGTCCCCAGTTTGACCAATTTGACAAAATTGAAAGACAAGATCTTCAGGATAAAGGACAATGCGTTAGATGACAATGCCATGCCACGCCACTTCCTTGTCCATTTGTTTCAATGCACTTTACTTAGCCAGTGGTGGAGTCCTTTTGCCCACTGCCTTACACAAGACCAGTAGTAGTAGGCTGGTAAAACAGCCGAACTCCTGGTTCCTAGAAGTAACTATACGAAAGAAAAACATGGCCCCTTCTGATGGGCCTGTTAGAGAAGGTCCGAAGGAACAGAGGGAGAATTAGAGGAGGAAGTTAGGCCCTCCTACAATCTCCCTTAGAACCCAGACAAAAGCCAACTTCACAAGCTGTGGTATCAGAGGAATCAGGGAAGTAAATAACCTGGAACTATCAAAATAAAGGTTAACCTGCAGAGTTAGAGAAAGTATTCTTTGACTTTCCAAGCCCTGACTTCTACTATCCAGAAGGACAAGGGCAGCAGATACATGGGAACACCACCCTCTCTAAGTTCCTCTCCAAGCCATCATGACTTGGAAATATATTGCCGTTCCTTCAGCGTTGCTGGGACAAGGTCCTGAGCCTGTCTCCCTAACAACACTGTGGGTGCATCTACGCCTGAGGGACTGCAGAAGTTCAAGGAGGCAGCTCACCACCACCTTGTGTGGCAGGCAGAGATAGTCTTTAGATGTGCGCCCAGCCAACAACACCCATATCCCACAAATAAATAAAAGCAACAGGTAAACATCAAAAAAAAAAAGCTAATCCGCCCATTCTATGAAATCGAGTGCTCAGAATTCCACATTAAATTATAATCTTAATAAAAACATGGCAGTTATTTCTAAAGGGAAAACACATTGGGGATGGGAAAGGTCTACAGAGCATGGGTCTAACATCAAATCCTTGGAAAGCAAGTAGCCAAAATGAACTGAAAATCCTGGACTGCCCAAAGAATTATAGAATCAGACAGTACAGGAGAGGCCCTTCAGCCCATCGAATCCACACGACGTAAAGAAACTACTCGATCTACACTAATCCCACTTTCCTGTACCAGGCCCATATAATACTAAACATGTTTCAAATCTTCAGCCAAGTATTTTTTTTAAAGGTTGTGAGGATTCCTGTCTCTACTACCCCCCAGGCAGTGCATTCCAGACCCCCACTACACTCCACGTGATAAAAAAGTTCCTCAAATCCCTTCTAAACCTCCTGCCTTTTGCTTAAACCTCATGTCCCTTTGTTATTGACTCTTCCACGAAGAGAAACAGCAGCTTCCTATCCATCCTGTCCAAGCCCCTCAGAATTTTACACACCTCTACCAGGTCCCCCCCACTCTTTGCCCTCAAGAAAACAACCCAAGCTTATCCTGCCTCTCACCACACAGTCAGTCAGGTTAACACGGTGGGCAAAAAAAGCATCTCTCGCACAGTCAGGGTTCTCCAGAAACTTGACCGTCTTTTCCTGGCGTTGCCATGAACCATCCAGAATTTTGCACACCCCCTCAGATGCTGTCTTACTGGGATCCACCTGTGATTTCAACATCTGATCCACAATCCCTAGGTTCATACTGTGACACACAAGCCCACCGCACAGATCTCGGAAGTTTAGGATTCCCACATTTGTAATGGGATTAGATGGATCTTACCTTCAGAAGCAGTCGGCAATGCTTGGGGAAACACATGTAGTAGGACACTAAATGAAGCACATGCTGTAGGACAGCATGAACAACTGTAGCCTCGGTCAAACTCGCTAGGAGCTAAAAAGAAAAAGGGAAGATCGATGATTCAGTTTCTTTCCAAACATCTCTTGCTAACATTTCTAGCTCTGTAAGGAAACAAACTAAATGAAAATGGTGCAAGAAGCGTTTCCTTTTATTCTTTATTCATTAACAGGATGCGGGCATCGCTGGCTAGGCAGCATTTATTATCCATCCCTAATTACCCAGAGGGCAGTTCAGAGTCAACGACATTGCTGTGGGTCTGGAGTCACATGTAGGCCAGACCAGGTAAGGATGACAGTTTCCTTCCCTAAAGGACATTAGTGAACCAGATGGTTTTTCCCCGACAATCAGCAATGGATTCATGGTCATCGTTAGACTTTTATACTTTTTTATAGAATTCAAATCCCACCATCTGCCATGGCGGGATTTGAACCTGGGTCCCCAGAACATTATCTGCGTCTCTGGATTAACAGTCCAGTGATAATACCACTAAGCCATCGCCTCCCCTATGGGAAGTGTACAATGACTGACAATGACACTGGGAAAATAAATCTCATCCCAAAAGCAGAAAGAAACAGGCAGGTATCGGTAAAGTGTGGAGTCACCAGCATTAGTGGAGGGTCACTAGACTGGTCCCTGAGGTGGCACAGCTATCCTACAAGGAGAGATCGAGTAGACTGGCCCTGTAGTCCCCAGCCCAGAAGGAAAGGTAATCCCATTGAGACGTACAACTCCTTAAAAGGGCTCGATGAGGGTGATGCAGGAAGGATGTTTTCCCCTGGCCTGGAGGGTCTAGGATGGGTAGACAATCTCAGAATAAGGGGCAAGCAATTTCAGAACAGAAATGAGGAGGCATTTCTTCATCCAGAGGGTGGAGAATCTTGAGAGTTCTCCATCGTTAGAAGGCTGGAGAAGCTCAGTCACGGAGTCATAGAGATGTACGGCACAGAAACGGACCCTTTGGCCCAACACGTTCATGCCAACTAGATATCCTAAATTAATTTAGTCACATTTTCCAGCGATTGGCTCATATCCCTCTAAATCCTTCCTATTCATGTACTCATCCAGACACCTTTTAATCACTATACTCAAGGCAGAAATCAAGATATCTAGGTATCAAGGGATGTGGGGGTATCATTAGATGGCATGGCGATAGATAATCAGTCATAATCTAGAATGGTGAGGTAGACTTAAGGGGCTGAATGGTCCACTCTTCATTCTACATCTTTATGTTTAGTGATAGTTAAAGGTGGGAGAGCACTGTCGCCATGACGATAAATCAGAACCCTGAAGTACCAATGGACAGCCTTAACTATGAAATCCAAAATGTGTCTTGTTAATAGAAGTCTGCAACAGTCAAAATATGCAACTGTATGTATCCATAAAATGTGAGGTATCAGGGAAATGACAAAGAGAGCAAAACATAATCCAAAGAAATAAAGAGGAGGCTGACTGTCTTCCACCCACCTCTCAGCACAGAGCCACCTCTTGAACAACTGCGATATTTTAGCCTTCCAACAAAAAAAAAGTCAAGAACTGACTGCAACACTAATTCGTATGCGGTGGTGAACTGATGATCTAGTGTGGGGAACAGCTTGCTGCGAGGGCAACAATTTTGAGAGCAGCCATTTAAACAGCCCTGCATTGCAGGTAAAGGGAGGGAACAGAACTCTCACTCACTCTGAGCGCTGCAAGTGAGCCACTGCTAAAAGGAATCAGGACAGGAGTTTAAATTGGCCATCAAAGCCAACTGCCAATATTAATGCTATTGCTGATGGTCACTGCAACAGGAACAGCGTTCAACTAGGTACAGTTCACAAACAATTCAGAGATCGGTAAATTTTTTTTTTAAAAACATTTATCTTTTTGGAATCTCCTCTTATTGCTAATTCACGTGCATGCATGATGCATTACTATTTCTGCTCACATTAACTAATAAATAAACTTACGGTTTTTGTGAATTCAAGAAATTGGGTCCTTCAAAATCATGAATTCGTTTGGAAACTGGGAGAGAGGAATCCACAAGGGAAGGGATGCTTGTCACAATTAATCTTGTGACCAACTGAGAGTTCGGATAATAACTGAGGGGAGTCCACTCACTCGTACTCAGCCTGGGAACTTTACAGATTGAGTTAGGCCAACTGGGGAACAGAAGAAATTGGGAAACTTCACCCAGGGATTAGTCATAACTCAGTTTATCGCTTATTGTCTTACATTTTATTTCTCACATACTTGATTTAAATCGTTCAAATGCAGAGGATGGCTTGGCTTGTTCCTCTGCTGACTCAGGTTTCAGCTGATTTGAATCAGCGGGAGGTCAATTTATTCACCGACTTTGGAGGTGGAATGATGTGTGGTTCTCTGATCAGCTACAACACTTGATATAGAGCAAACAAACTTATACCCCATCACAGTTGTGAGCATTTGCTGTCAGGAGGAGTGGTCAGAATGTTTTAACATTTAAAAAAAAAACCTCCAACTTGCAGCTTTAAAAGATTTGACCAGCCAATTCACCATCAGAAGTGAAATAACTTCAGCGGGGTCGGTGTCCTGTCACTAAGTCACCCTTTATTTACACGTGGAGAGTCCTTGGCACTGATCCAGCTCTCAGAGTGAACAGAACCTCTGACACTCCTGATTATATCTGTCAGCCAGGGCTCCCTGATTGGACCAGATTAGCAGCCTCAATCAGGGAGCTCATATTCTAGGAGGTCCACCTGGCTGACCTCATTACAATCACTGCAGGAAGGTTAGTAAAAGCTTCTAAAAGACATGGAGTACCTCAGTGTTAACAAGGTTTCTGCTTTCACTCACAGTAGCGGATCACCCTGATCTTGAGGAAGGCAGGAGCTAATAGACAGGAGAAGAACTGAGCCCATCAGGGAAGAGATTTTGCAGCACGGCTTGTGGGCTAAGAGGAACAGGATTGATCCCCCAGGCCAAACATGCCAGTCTGTAAACCACCAGCGTGTCTCAAACTGTCTGTTCCCATCACTTTACCCACACAAACACCCCCAAACACCGGTATGTGACCTTTCACCTTTGCACTTGACCAACACGCCTTTCCACTAATCCCATCCAACCCCTGTTCCCTGGTCACCATGCTGCCCCTCAGGATCTCTTCCTATTATCAGAGAATGTTCCCCTCCTGTGGAATTTTCGCAAAAACTAAGGGGGCAGGGGAGGTAAAAGACCTTAGGAAGTCTTGGAAAACCCAGTGTGTGGATTCCCCATTTATAGCTGTCCAGCCCACTCCTGTGAGAATATTAGGCTCTTCACTCCCACTCAACTGTTCCTTCAGTTACATTGTGCCTAGCAACAGGTCCCTGATGTGCCTGACTTGAAAAGTAAACACTCTCTGGAGTGAAACTAAAAATATACAATTGCCGATTTACGTTAACGTACCTGAATAAGACTGGTCAAGTAGGTACTGACATCCTGTCGGATCTTGGGCCATCGGGGGCTGCTGGAGGGTAGTAACAACCTGGCAAGTAAATCAAAAACCTTTTAAAGGTGGCACGCCACACTACGCCAACACGACAGCCATCACACACTGCTGGGTAATCACTGACCGAAGCTACCTCTCTGACCCCAGACCATGCAGGTGAAGTCACTATCTTCTACACCCTTCATAGAATCCCTACAGTGTGGAACAGGCCCTTCAGCCCAACATGTCCACTCCGACCCTCGGAGCATCCCACCCAGACCCATTCACCTATAAACCCATCTAATCTACACATCCCTGAACATTATGGGCAATTTAGCACGGCCAATTCACCTAGCCTGCACATCTTTGGACTGTGGGAGGAAACCCTTGTACTCTTTAATATGGTTCAAAGCCCATGGACAAATAAATAATAGATCGACCCCCCCATCAGAGGGAAAAATCACAGGACAGATACTTTTCTATTGCTCGGAGGGAGGGGGAGTCTTACTTCCCCCCACTCACTGTTTTTCATAGAACCCCTACAGTGAGGAAACAGGCCCTTCGGCCCAACAAGTCCACACCGACCCTCACAGCATCTCACCCAGATCCATCCCCCTATAACCCACCTAATCTACACATCCCTGAACACTGCAGGCAATTTAGCCTGGCCAATCCACCTATTGTGCACATCTTTGGACTGTGGGAGGAAACCAGAGCACCTAGAGGAAACCCACACAGACACGGGGAGAATGTGCAAACTCCACACAGACAGTCGCCCGAGGGTGGAATCGAACCCAGGTCCCTGGCGCTGTGAGGCAGCAGTGCTAACCACTGAGCCACCGTGCCGCCCCTACAACTGTTTTTGTAAATCTGGATGGAGGCTGCAAGGGGAATCCTCAGGCTCAACTGAAGAACGAGTGAAAACATGAGGGACTGGCCCATCTGCTTTCTTTCCTGCTTCCAATGGTTGCACTAATGCGAGAAAAAAAAAGCTCTAGAGCGTTTAGGCACATAGCTATCAAATGATCGGCGCTCATGTCCCTGACAGATCGAGAATGAGATTTGATTTCTCTTCAAGGTACTCATTTCCAGGATGAGAGGGTCATTGGCAAGGCTGGACATTCTATGACCCATCCCCCATTGCCCTTGAGAAGATGGAGGTGTGCTGCCATCTTGGACTCCAGCAGTGCGTGTGGGGAAGGTGTGCGTCCCATAGTGCTGTTCAGCATGAAGGTTCAGGGTTCTGACTCAGCACCAATACGATTCCAAGGCACAATGGTCTTGGAGAGGGCCTTGTTCCCATGCTGCCCTTGGCATCTCGGTGGCAGAGGCTGTGGGTTTGGAAATCGGTGTCAAAGACACTTTGGCAATTTGCTGCAGCTAACATGTTATAGAGCTCCACAGCACAGAAACATGCCCTTCTGCCCATTAAATCCGTTCCGGTCAAAGACAACCACCTACCTACTCATCATCCCATTTTCCAGCATTTGGTCCATAGCCTTGTATGCCTTAGTGCCGCCAGTGCACATCTAAACACTTCTTAAATGGTGCGTTTCTGCCTCTACCACGCTTATAGGTAGCAAGTTCCAGATTCCCACTATCCACTGAGTGAAAATAATTGTCCTCCCATCTCCCCTAAACCTCCTGGCCTTTACCTTAAATTGATGTACTTTGGCCATCAAAGGGAAAGGTTTTTCCTATCTATCCTGTCTGTGTCCCTCATATTTTATACATCGCAATCCTGTCCCCTCTCAGTATCCTCTAATACAAGAGAAATAACGGTCAGTTCAATGAGAACTGAAAGAACTGCGGATGCTGTAAATCAGGAACAAAAACAAAGTTGCTGGAAAACCTCAGCAGATCTGAGGAAGGGTCACCAGACATCAACCATGATTTTTTTTATTCACAGATGCTGCCAGACCTGCTGAGCTTTTCCAGCAACTTTGTTTTTGTGTCAGTTCAATGAGGCTCTCTCAACATGTATTTAACACCTTGCTTGCATTTAGTCTGCATTCAACTTCAAAAACCAACTTAGGTTCCTGTTAGACTGCGAACCCATTAATATCGATCCATAAAAGCCAACACACCAATGATGTTGCTGGAAAGCTGCCGTACCATTCACGACCTGAGTGTGGCACACAAGTGTGGCAGCCAATTGTGCCTTATCTGAACCAGGCCCCAATCACAGTGCTTGGATTTTAGACAAGGGGAGTATGAAATCGGCCGAGTGAAAAGTTGCTAGGAAGGTATGGAGAGAGGTGCGCAGAGCTAAGACGTTGAACGAAAGGAGTTGGGAGAGGGAAGAGACAGTTGGAGAGGTCTGAGATAGAACTGAGTGCACGAGGCAAGTGAGAAACAACATGACAAGGAGGTCCTTCAACCTACACGCCCTCTGATGACCGATGATGAGAAGTGCGGTCTGAAATTTAAACCCGAAATTCAGGTGTTGCCCCTTTAAATAATGACGTGGGTTATCACCTTTCTAGGACTTTTGTAGCAAAAATGAGGGCAAAAGCATGAAATTAATCATTTTTTTCCTAAATTCTGCTACACATAAAGAGAAAACACATTGCAAATCAATTAACGAGACCAAAAAAAAAGGGTTTGACTAACGTTAACGGAAAGCACTATTGCTTCTCAAGAATAAACTCAGAGTTTGAGGGACTTACTTTTTCCGGTCTCCAGCTGGTTTTAATTGAAGGAGCTTCTGCATGGCTAAGAGGAGATCGCGGATACAGAATGACACCAGGCTGTTGAAGACTGTAAAGGAATAACAGGCACAGAGTCATTTTTTTGGAGAACACGGCACCAACATCATAGAATCAGAATTCTTACAGCACAGAAAGCCATTCAGCCCATCGTGCCTGCAATGGTTCCAGTGCCTATTACTTTTACTAAGAATTACAGTATTTTAATTGAGCATCTGAATTGCTTTCCTTATGTAGATGCATTGAGCAGATTTGATCCTATTCATTTCAAGTAGAAAATTTCAGAACACTACTTTCTTTAAAACAAATATTTTTTCACACAAGTGCAAAAAGTTTTTCTCACATCATATTTTCTTACTAGTTTTCATTCTGAAATATCTTCTTAGCACCTGAATGTTGCTGTAAATGTTGTCTATCAGTGCATTCCACATAGCCAAATGCACTCAGTTCGATCAGATTGACAATCAGAGCAACAACAGAACAGAACAGAAAGCTGAAATTGTGATAAAACTCTCCCAGAGAGAGAGAGAGAGAGCGCAAGGAATTTCCAGTCAATTGAAGCGGATTAGATGGATCACGTAATCCAGTGAATTTGCCATTCAAAATTAAGAAAATAATTATTTCTTTTTGAAACAATCGACAGACAGCTAATCTACAGTCTCACTTTCCAAAATACAACCTTCTTGCTTTCTCTCATCCTCTCCAACCTCAGCAAAGGCTGTGTCTGTCACCAATAACCCTGACTTTTACTACACATTTCTTCAGAAACAGTAACGATCAGGCCAATGTTTTAAAGACAGCCGAGTCAAGTCAAAAAGCAGAGTGGAGTTCGAGTTTACAGTAATCGAGGTAGCAAAGTTGTACAGGCTAGAGAATTAAAACAGCAAATATGTTTTGTGCTAGGTGCAGAGATTGTCACACTGTCAACATCTCCGCAGGAATGAATAATTTGCTTGGGAGTGTTTCACTTTTAGAGGCAGCTAGTTTTTAGAACCAATAGGTTTTCATTTACCTTTGGAGGGTTTACAACCTAAAAGGTGAACAATTGAGTTGTTAGACATTCCCAGCTTTTGTTTTCATGTTTAGTGGAAACACTCATAACTTAGATACAGAGACATTTTCAGTATTACTTACAGTTTTAGATGGTTCTGCAGAAGTTTTCATGTGTAGAATTGCTCCTGAGAAATGGTGCGCGTAGTTAGAGTTTTTAATGCTAGATTACCTTAGAGTAAGGAGTTAGTAATAGGCCCAGACTGGAAGTGTTTGGATAAAATCCGGATGAGGATATCTGAAGTGGAGAATATTTAGACTCGGGTATATGACAGCTTTTCCTTGAAGCTATTGGATTATCCAGACTGAGAGTTGAAGTCAAATTAAAACCATTAAAGGGGTTATATAAAAGGATTTTCTGGTGTGAATACTGTTCAAGGGTGCTTTTGGCTATTGTACAGGGACGTTTTGGGAATCGTTTTTGAGGTTAATGGCATTATATTTCATTGTACATTTGAAAACTTTTAAGTTTGTGTTATAAATAAATAATGTCTTATTCTATTTTATCTTCATTCTTTTGGCTTAATAAAACTCTTTTATCGTTAAGGACAAATTTGCAACATTGCCTGCTTATATTTCATGGAGAGACCACCTCATAAAAACCATGAAGAAACAAAATGTGATCCATCAAGCCAGCTTTCAATGAGTGATCTGACTTGTTCTATAATATAGTCAGCTGGGATCCTAACAAAACACAATAAAATGACCTCATAATTGGCAAGCTCAGTGTGAAAAGAGTTACAGGAGGGTTATTGTAAAGAAGAAATAGTATCAAGCTTGCACAGTAAGCTGGACTGAGATACAGGCAGAGGAGAGAGAGTTTTACACTGAGTCGGTCTATATCGTTCCTTCACATTTGTTCTTGCAATGTGGATATTTTACTGACTCCAGCATTCATACTCATCCCTGGTCACCCTGAGGGGATGGCGGCCTTTCGTGTAGACCATGCCCCATAGTGATGGCACCTTCCACTGTAGTGCCCAACAATGAAGGAGCCTGACGTATAACAAAATCAAGGTAGGTCACCATTTCTTGCAGGAGGTGTGCGTCAAATCCAGTGGGCCGAACATCCATCCAATGAATAACTCAATGCCTGGATGGTGTTGAGCATTATTGAGAGGACAGGTGAGAACTGAACAGTAATGCTTATTGGAACTTTACCTATTGACTCTGTTTGCCCTACTCTTCTAGCCATAGTTTGGAACAGCATAAAGCCATATTTTTCTCCTGGGCGGAGTAGTTGAGAGAATTTTAAGAGAAAAGTAGGCCACTGCCTGAAGAGAATGTAGGATATGGTTGTGGGATCAGCGATAGACCACGCTTACACTCACAGCCAAGAGCCAAATGACCTCATTGCCTGTTGAACACACTATTTTAACAGGGTCTGAACTTTCTAAAACAAATATGAGAAACAGGAAGAAAACTGTAAGTAAATGTGAGCGAATCGTAAGGAGAAGAAAATGTTCTAAAATTACTTGTCAACATGGACCATCCAGGATTGAATGTGAATAACGCGTGAACGTTGACAGGGAACCGACAGGAATAGGAGATGTTTTACTGAGGCTTAAAACTGGACAAATGGTGTGTGGTGGATGTATAAATGCAACGGCTGCCTTGCGAAAAGCCAACACGACTCATTCTTCCCATAAATCCATAGCTCTTGGACGTGTAATCTCAAGAATGTTTTGAGCCCTCGGTTTATGGATTTACTTGATTGCTACAAATCACACCAAAGTCAATTGAAGGGGAGTTGGTTTGAATTCAACGTTAGCAACAAGATAGAAATGTAAACCAGTCTGTACTGACCTCAATAAAGCATCAAGGTTAGAGGCACTGGATAAGAACCCATGTCTGTTGTGTTGAATGTGTATCAATATTACTGGCATAATTAGATATTGATATTCAGCTCTTTTTCCACATTGCCCTCCTTTCCAATCAATGTACAAACTGCTTATCCCTGTCTTTAGTCTTCAGGGGCCAGGTCAAATTTCACTTTGCAAGTTATATATAGATTTAATGGAAGTCAGTTTAAATTAAACCACATAAAACGCAATGCAAAGTGCTTAACACCAAATCTGTAATCACCTTTAAATTAACTGAACAACTTAATAATATGGTGCTCGTGCACTCGCTGTGTGGGGGGGAAAGAGAGGGAGAGAGAGAGAGCGCGAGAGAGAGAGCGCGAGACCAAGCTACCTAACTGGAGATAAATCCCTCCCAACCCAGGCAAGCAACTTGACTGATGGACTGGTCCTACTGTTGGTCTCCTTAACCCCCACCCACCCAAACTAGCCGCTGCCCTCCAACACCACCTGCTAGCGTTTGAAAGAGAATGTATTCCAATCTGTCGAAGGACAGTGGGATACTCATCCCATGAACCCATGCTGTCCAGCACACTAAATGATATACCTTGAGAAGATAACATTCACATTTCCAAATGCAACTGACAAACGCTCAATGTAAACCGGATACTTTCGAATCAACCTGTTCAGAGACGGTGTTACCTCTGGACTAGGTGGGACTTGAATCAAAACTTCCTGGCCCAGAGTTAGGGATATTACCACTGTGCCAGAGAGGCCCCACACTCAGGGTAACCTTTTCTTCCATTGGATATAGACATCACTGGCGAGGCCAGCATTTATTGCCCATCCCTAATTGCCCAGAGGGCAGTTATGAGTCAATCACACATTGCTGTGGGTCTGGAGTCACATGTAGGCCAGACCAGGTAAGGATGGCATATTTCCTTCCTTAGAATGATGCCCACATCCCACAAGTGGAAAAAAAGAAGTTCTCTTTTCTCAAGATGAAAAAGGACACGAGTTATGTGGATTTTTCCTGGCAATTGATTCACGGTCATCCTTAGACTCTTAATTCCAGATATTTATTGAATTCAAATTCCACCATCTGCCATGGCGGGATTCGAACCTGGATCCCCAGAACCTGTGTCTCTGGATTAACAGTCCAGCAATAATACCACATGGCCATTGCCTTCCCTATAATTATGACGAATACGAGGTAGACCGCGTGTCAGACAGTGTCCTTTCTCATTTCTTTGCCTGAATGTTTTCCGTTATTTAATTCCTACGCTTTAATGGAGCCTAGAATCCCACATTTCAGTACAGGTGCAAGGTTTTGCATTTACATGGTGCCTTTCACAGTGAGATACTGAAGTGTTTTACATCCTGTCCTGTATTTCTGAGGTGTAGTACTTGGCGTAATGTAGATTTCACTGAAAAATAATGTTTTTAAAAAAAAAAAAATTGCAAAGCTCAGCCATAGTCAAAAAAGTCTGGGCAGCATGGGACCAGTGAACTACTGAAAAGTTGACCAGAGTCTGCACTCCCCAAATCCAGCCGTCAATCCTGCAAAAAGTTCCATCCGGACTGACGGGAATGATCAATGTAGCCAAAATACAAAACGGCAGATTCCAGGGGAAAGAACCACAGGGGAAGGTAATAGTTAATTCAGCAGAATTAATGATTTTTGAGTGGAGGCCAGATATTTAAACAGCTTTATCAATGCTGGAAATGGAACGGAGGGACATACTTACACCCACGAGAAAGTTTATCACACTTCAACATCAGTTTCTGCAATTTGCAAAAGATTTTTTCTAACCTAATTGTGCAGTTTGACTGAGCTCACACCAATGATCGCTTTGTAAAATAACTTGACATGGTGGCTCAGTGGTTAGCACTGCTGCCTCACAGCGCCAGGGACCCAGGTTCAATTGCAGCCTCAGGCAGCTGTCGGCGTGGGTTTCCTCCGGGTGCTCCGGTTTCCTCCCACAGTCCAAAAATGCGCAGGCCAGGTGGATTGGCCATGCTAAATTGCCCATAGTGTGCAGCGATGTGTAGATTAGGCGCGTTACAGGGGAAAGGGGCAAGGATGGGTTTGGGTGGGATGCTCTTTGGAGGGTCGGTGTTGACTTGTTGAGCCGAAGGGCCGGTTTCCACACTGTAGGGATTCTGATGTCGATGAGTGTAGCACTGGCGTGAAGAAGAC